GCTAGTGCTGGTGCTGGTGCTGTGGCAGTGTGTGGCCTGGTGTCTGCATGTCTCTGCTACTGCAAGTCACGGTGCCAGACTTGCCCTCCAACTGATAGTCATAAAGTGGTGTAGATTCTACCCATTCCAGCCGCGGCTGCTGGCACCAGACTTGCCCTCATAAAGGAGTTTAAATTCTACTCATTCACAACCTCGACGACGACGGCGATGCCCACTGTCCTGTACGTCTTACTGCTGCATCCCGGATGCTCCAGCCGTCGGCACATGTCCTTCACCGTGCTCTCCTCGTCGATGCCCACCGTGCACACCCAGCTCCCCTCCTCGAGCTGATTCACCTCCAGCTCTCCATCCACCACGCACAACGGGTGCTTCGCCCACTCCGGCCGAGGGAGACCGAAGCCATCGTCCGCCTTCTTGTCGTCGTCCTTCTTCTTGTCATCGTCCTTTTTCTTGTCGTCATCCTTCTTCCGGGCAGCCGGATTGCTTTCATGGCCGGCTTCGTCGGCTTGGCCTTGGCCTTCATCGCCTTCATGGCAGCCATCCAGCGAGCAACCAGATCAAAGGTCCAAGCTGAATATTTTTTCAGACCTAAAGGATGGATAGGCCAGCAGTGGCTTTCGCCCGATCACGCTATGGCGGCGAGGGCTGAGCAAAGCAGACTAGGGACTAGCAGCCACACAGCAATGTTCCAGCATTTCTAAATGAATATTTCTCAGACCTCAAGGATCGATAGGCCGTGGTTTCGCAGCATGGTATTGCTCTGCATATCAACATCCCAAGATATCCCAAGCTTACCATCTGACATACAGGATCAGTGTGCACAGTTGGGATTCAACCTGATAATCAAAATCAAGCAAGCCTACCCCTGCTTGGACCACGTGCCAACAGTCAACACCAGCTGGTGCAGCACTACGATCCCCTCAGAGTCTGAATGAACCCAGGAAAATCCCAACCCCGTTGCCTCGGCACGCTTCTCCTCGGCCACGTCTCGACCAGATGGATCCTGCGGTTGTTTCGGGCTGGGGAGTTTGTATCACCACACCGGCCGGCTTTGAATATCAACTGATCCTGCACAGCACTCCTGTCTCAGGATTCCAAACTTTCTCCACCCCCACCCAACTCCTTACAAAACCCCGGCGAAAGGAGAGGAGCACCCAGGCAGCGAAACCGAAGTCCAGCCCGGAACCCCAAATCCCCGAACCCCTCAAGGCAAAGTGCCTTCGACTCGCCCGGATCGTTTTCGTCAGCTGGATCCTGCCAAGTCTGGGTCTGGGAGGGGGGTTATGTGGCCGGGTCGTCCCACATGTGCTCAGCCAAGGGCCTCCGCACCAAGAAGACTTTGTGATAAGGCCTGTCAAGAGACACTACTAAAGCCAGCGAGGCAAAAAAAAACTGTCCTGTTCCAAGGCCTTGTGCTCGTCGATCCCCAGCGAGGCACAATCCTGCCACCAGGCCGCGGAACACAGCATGGTGCCCGAGATGCGAAGCCGTCGTGTCGTGCAGCCACCCGGGCCTTCTCCGAAGTCATTCCCGGCACAGGCGGATCCGCTGGCACACCAGGACCCTGGCAACACAAAGGACAACCGAGGCTGAACACCAAAGCAAAACCGAATCCCCAGCCTCCACGGAATCATCATCGCGACCCACGGCCTGCCGACAGGCCGCAATGCACCCGCCATCCGGCAAACCAGAGCAAGGCCCCGGCCGCAGGCAACCCAGAAGACGACGGCTCCGATGCCTGGCAAGTCAACTTTCGGCAGTAACACATCCCAAGCCCCCGGCCAACCAAAGTGCAACGAGACCGCCTGAGCACCAGGAGCAGCCAGTTTCCGAGCCTGCCCATACAACCCGCACACAGACACACCCACTCTTGCTTTCACATGCCCTGGAATCTGGAAGCGCCTCTGCGATCTGCTTCTCCGTGGGAGGCCTGCTCGTAGATTTCCACTCCTCCGAGACACAATCTACAACTCCAATCAGATCACGAAGAGGTCCTGCCTCTGGACCGGACGTCCACCACTCATGGTGACTTACTCTGGCGGTGCCGTCGGCTTGAAAGCCTTGAAGACTGCACCTGCGATTCTTTAACCTAACTAGATAAACTTCCAGCTTAGTTTGCAAGCCCATGACGAAGCCTGGCTCGAAAGACCCTCTTCTTCACGTCGAACATCACCGCCGTGGTCTCGCAAGGACATCCGCCGACGCCCTGAGCAGAACACGTGCTGGGAAGGGATGCGAGCTGGGCAGCACGAACAGAATCTCGGTTTCCGGCACAAGTCTGTGGCACAGTATGTGCCGGCGCCGGCACATCGGAGGGAAACTCTGCCGTCAGATACCGGGGCATGCTCGATTCCTCTATGTGCTAGTGCGCTTATGTATACTGAACCCACTGCCGACTTAGTGGCTTACTCCCACAGACCCCGTGCCGTCATAGTGGCTTACGAAGTGCGCTTATGATGCTTATGTACAATCCCACTGCCGACCTAGTGGCTTACTCAATCAGACCCCCTGCCGTCATAATGGCTCTTATAAGATAAAATATTTCAATAAGATATTACCCAAATGCCGACCTAGTGGCTTACTCAAACAGACCCCGTGCCGTCGTAAAGGCTTATTATAAGATCTTAGTTCAGTAAGATATTACCTAAATGCCCACGGCATCCACGGCATCCTACGGCCTACATGGCCTACCCAGTCCTATCCTTGATGCGGCACAAGCGACGATGACAGCTGAAGCAGAGCACACACAGCACACGAGACCAGCGATACCTCGGACCTATTTATAAAGGGGCAGACTAGCACAAGCATGAGCAAGACATAGCAAGACTGCCTCTCTCTGTCTTCTGTCCGCCACCCCCCCCCC